GGGCCGAGGGGCGCTGCCACCGATCATTCCTGCACAAAAGCCAGACAGACTCAGGTGTCGGCACATGGTTCAGAGCAGCTTTAGCACCGCAGCCGCTGGATGAGCCGTGCTCCCAGTGACGAGGATGCCGTAGCTGCGCTCACGGCTCCTCCGAATACAGCTGCCCACCCGGCCGCGCAGAGCTACGCTAAGGTGCTTTGTGCTGTTCAGTCAATTATCAGATTATCATACAATTTACAAGAGGAAGATCCTTTTATCATTTCTGAAATGCTGTTTGGAGCAAGTGTTCCGCACACAGGCTGTAGCAGGTGCCGCAGGTGTGTGGAAAGCTCTGACTTCCTTCCTCAGGAAATGAATCACGCTGGCTGATCATGCCCGTGGCAGGTCTCTGCTTTCCAAGTGAGAGTGAAGACCTGAGTACCAACACGTTATTGCTACGCAGGCTTACAAATTAGAAGGACCAAATTTAAACTCGCCTTCTGGTAACATCTTTTGGCGTGTCCTCTCCTTCAGAACTAAGAGCCTTCATAGCTTCAAGGCTCACCCCGGTAATCTTGAATCAATATATGGTGCAGGGAAATTACTCACAGGAACTTTCCGATAGATGCTGAAGCTCATTACCGTTATTTTAGGGGAAGTCCTCCCACATCTACTGTAAACAACTGATACAGTTTATTTACACTTGGAATATATAGCGTACTACACTCTGAGAGCAGCCAAAAAAAAAACCCCAACCAAACCCCAACACAAAAATCCCCTAAACCCAAAGACATGCATTCACAGTATTTATACATTTCAATTTTAAACAGTGAAGAGCGAAGACAAAACATTCATTTCAGACTGAACTACTGATCTCTCCAGTTGCATTTTGCAACACTCTTAAATGAGTATTACAAGCCACACAAATAAATAAATATTACTCATCAGTTTAATTGTTTGGTGATGTATAACCACTGTTTCAGCTGCTGTACAAAATCTCCTTCAGTGTTACATCCTCAGATCTGTTCTACTTGTGTACATGTTCCATCAGCTGAAATATGTGGCGTGCTAGAGTAAATAGCCCAAACAGAGATAATACTCTCTAACTTGTATACACAAGATGAATAACATCCTCTAATACATACAGAGAACATGAGAATAATAGAGAACTTGAAGGACTACAAGTTGGCCTCTACACTGCTTAAACAGGGTATTTCAGTGTTGTGCAGCATGTCCTTTTTAATACCAATGCAAACTAAATATGAAATGTTGACGGTGAATATACCCATCTGAAAGGACACATACAATACCCATTAATTTACTCAGAGATCTCAGTGGTTGTTGCATACTTGGGCAGCCTCAGACTATGTGCTAGTGGAAATAAGCCTAATAAAACAGGATTTTCTTGTGAAAACCCCTATGGTATCTTTATACAAGATTAGTTAGAGCAACATGAAGGAAATTGTGAAATGCACCACAGATTAGACATAACCCATGACAAGAGGTAACACTACTGCAATGGTTCTATACTACTACTGATGTTTCCCAAAAAGTTTGTGTTTCAAAAAAAAGATTAAAACATTAGTATTTCTTTGTTTTAAAATGAGAACTAAGGCTAATAAATCGAGGATAACAGAGGGCAAACCCAAGGCCTGTAGAGATACACATCACAAGGGCAACAGTATTGCCCACAATTTTGTTTTAAAAGAAGTATCTCCACAAAGAAGTGGTTCATTTATCTGCTTTTCTCAGGCAGAAAGATTGGATTTTTACCTGTTTAACCCTCAGCTGAATCTGGAATGTTGATGCGACCAGACAAAACACTGTGTTCATCTAAATGTTTTCAGGTAGGTGAAAAGTGGTGCATGAATAGGAGGACTAAAAATATGCAGAGACAGAAGTTCAAAGTAAAGACCTCAATACATAACAGCCCATGAAACAATTTTTTCCAGGCTTTTTGGAAAGTATTTACAATAACCCCAACATTAAATTACACATGTTATAGTCCATTACTCAAGCACATTTTAAAAAAATGTAAAGCCACCTTACCTGTGCTGCTGTTGCCTAAAGCTCCTTGACTTCCTATTATCCCTTCACTCCTGCCCATCAGTCCTGGCTGAGGTATCACCGAATAGGGGCTGCTTGTTCGTATGGGTGGGAAAGTTCCTGCACCTGCTTGGTTCTGCAGCGTGATGTCAAGTGGTAAATTCTGGTTTGGTAACAACCTGCCCAGTTGCCCTGCTCGTGGGTTATTAAAAGCTAGACAGAAGGAGCAAAGAAAAAAGCAAAGTTAGAAGAATGGAAACTTTACTTGTTAAAAAAAAAAAAAAAAGAAGAAAGAAAACAGAAGGCAAACACAGCTCTTGGGCTGAGCTATTTAACACTGCACCATTTACCCACTCCAGATCTGTCTGAGAAACATCCTTCTTTATGTAAATTTCAACATGGAACATTCTGACACTAAACCAGATATGACATATTTTTAAAACTTTAAATGATGCAATTTAACCGACAGAAGAGCCACTACAGCAAAATGTACCACTATGTGATTGATGCACACACTACTGCCAATTAACCTTACACCTAGAAGGATGGTAGTTGCATGCAGATGTCATCCTGAGGCAAACTGTTAGGAGTTATATCAGTTTTGAAAGTTTTCCAGCATAAGCTGTGCCCCTGAAGAAGCTACCAAAATTAAGGACAGATTGAGTCGGTATCAGATCCTGTAGCCCCATTTCGACATGTCCCTCTTAAACTTCTTTTACACACTTTTTGTCATTAATAAAACTAAACACTTTTATGATTCAGCAACAACAAATAAGGGGTGCAGAATCTGAGCTCTGCCAGCACAATACTCTGGTAACTAGAACTGTGCATGATGGTTCCTGTCACCTTACGGAACCATTTTCTCCCGTGGACATGTTTGGTGCTGTTGCAGACAGGCTCTGCAGAGGGAAGTACAGAACCGTCACAGAAACGCGAGCATCAGATCACCACTGGCCAGCACCTGGCTCTGCTGCTCCCTGGGCAACGTTCCAGTGCAGGAAAGCACCGACTCCTTCTCAAACACGAACTGAGCACTGACCTTGTGCCTATGATTTCATTTCAAATCGTACCAACACAAGGCATACAAATAAATTGTGAAATTGTTATTTGGAATACTTCCCGATAGCTTCCCCTAGGAGAGTCTCTCTCTGATAGAACACCATCCTCAAAGTGACTTCTGCGCTTTCATATGGACATTACAAAGATGTTAAAGAATTTCTTTCTTATTTCAGATCAAAGTATTGATACTTTTGAGAACTTAGATGAGGTTTATTAAGCTTGTTAAAAAGTACAGAAACATCTTATTAGAAAGGTCTCTGACTTTTCCTCTTAGTTTATAAAACCAGACTACAGGAAGTCATTGTATCTATTTTTTTTTAAAGTAAGTTCTCTGCCAGGTGAATTTGCTTATATGCCTGTATAGGAACTACATCACATATACCTAATTCCCGAACATGAGATCAAAATCTTGTCTCACCTCTCTGCTCAGACAAGCAAACAAAACTCACTTATGAGACAAAAATCACCTTCTCAAGCTTAGGGGCATCTTAAAGTCTAAGGATGGAACCAAAACCCAACTTCAGTGACAGCTGAGAACAGTTTTCTCAAGAAGTGTGAAAGATCACGTGGATGAGTCAGTTCTTATACGGTGGCTTTGCCAGCACCCACTGATCCTACAAAACGGAAAGCTGGAAATGCAGCACATACCACCAGGACAGCTGCTGAGACGTGCTGGTGGCTCAGCTCCCACATCTTGCTCCCAGACAGGGTGGGGCTGAAGGACATTACCTGTGCCCCACACAGCAAACTCCAGCCACCCAGCAAGCCTAGCAGCTTTCAAGTATTTTTTTTTTTTTTAAACAGATTAAAATAGTTTAAGCATTTTCATCTGAAAACTGTAAAATGAAAGCCGGTTATTTCTTCAGAAAAAAACCCTGTAACCCTCCTAAACCTCTCCTGGAATCATGTACTATTTGATGTTCATCCCACACCGCTTCTCTGTGCACACAGGGGAAGCCACTTGCCATTTCTGTGCCCCTGTTTTCTGTGTGCTCCTCTGCTGCAAACATGGCAGAAGCTCCCCAGGGAACCCAGCACAGACACAGGACTTAGGAGGGGAAAAGGAGGTTAGGGCTTTAATTCTCAGGGGGAATGGGATGCTGCTCTCCCAGAACTTCTGCCAGCCCCCAAGGCACTCCCATTTACAATCATACTGTCACTGTGCTGCCGGCAGCCTTGGCGGCAGATTTAAAGTTGGGTTAACTCTGGAAAGCCAGAAGACCCTGCTTCAGAGAGAAGATGATGAAGCTTTCAGACACACAGGGATCTCCTTCTGACTTACGTCCTGCCGTGGCTGCTGTTAGTACCCCCATAGTGACAAAAATCATAGAATCATTCTGGTTGGAAGACATACTCAAGATCATCAAGTCCCCAGGCATCCTTCTTTGAGCAACACTGATAACAAATGTAAATTTAAGGATCTGTACTGGTTTTAATAGGAATTTCAACATTAATATTTCCTATTAACAGTAATATTTATTTAAACATTTCTAAATAATAATTTGAGTTAATCTGAAAGTTGCTTCACAGTGTTGTTTTAGTATCATCAGAATGGCTAAAAATATTACCTAAGCTCTATGCGTTATAAACATATAAAACATCTTAGCCAATGCGAGAAAAAAATGAAGCAGTGGCTTTCTATGCTGTTTTCAACATTTGTAGCTGATAAGACTCCCATCTTGCTCACATTCCATTTTTCTCTGGTGGTAGACTAACATTTCAACATTGATTTGCAAGTTAATTAATAAAGTTAAGAAACACTGTCAGCTGGAAGTGACTCAATTAAAAGCCATAATTTCAAATCAAACTTGGGCATTCCTCTCAATCATATGTCTTCCTACTCATCTTGTGGTTTGAGAAGATTCTCCTTCTCCTCCCTTAGAAAAGTCTCTCTTCTCCCTGTCACAGTAAGAACTGCTCTCTATGCCAACGTCCTCACCACAGCAGCACCACCTAGGACCACAGCTGGGGACGTTCCATTTATTTTGAGGGTACCCCTCAAAGCTCCTCAGAGGGCACCACTTCCAGGGTGCTGAAGTGTGCACTGGACATCACCTCCACGTGTGTTTCAAAACAGGGTGACCGCAGATGGTGCTATGTCATCACAGGAGACCAGAGCAGGACCAGCTCTGTCACCACAGGAGACCAGAGCAGGTTGGGGAGCTCCCTGGTTACATCATCACACAAGACCAGACCAGGATGAGGAGCTCCCCAGTTCCTCCCCCCCCGGCCCAGGGGCACCACAACCACAGCTTTTGGGGTTCGCAAACTTGGCCGACACATGCACAGAAGGTGGACTCACTGCTCTGTGAGATCCTCATTGCTGGTTTCTGGGTGGTCACAGCCGTGCCGGGGCTGCCGTCACTGGTGAGCTGCATGAGGTCATTGATGATGGCTTGCTTGTCAACCGAGCCCGCTGGCACGCCTGGGCGGCTGTCTGGGAAGAGCTGCGGTAACTGGCTGTTCTGCAGGTCGTCCAGAATCTCCTCCAAGTTGTCCAGTTCGCTGCCCGGCTGCAACAGAGACAGAGAGGCACTGTATGTGTCGCTGCTCCCCTGCTGCCGGCCGCCTGCGCCCGCCGTGCCCGTGCCGCAAGCAGCCCAACGCCACGCGGAGGGAGCTCACAGAGCTGTGGAAAGGGCACCGTGCAGGCTCCCCAGGGCTCACCCGCCTGGCATGCGGGGAGCCTGGCGTGGCACTGGCACCCCTTCAGATCCCAGGCGTGGGGACATCAGAAACCTCCGCGCACGCTCGGTTGGCACAGGCAGCACCTGGCAGGGGCAGAGGTCCAGCAGCGAGGGACATGGGGCTTCAGGCAAGTATAACTGATGCTCCTTTCAGCACAGTCATATTTCTAGTCTGTTTATGACTTGATGAAAAGCATACGATAGGAAAGTTGCTTCACGGCTAAAAAGATTCACCATACACATTTTCTTCATTGCATTCAAAACTGAGTAACTCTGTGTAACTTAACTGGCAAGAAATACACATTTCATTGAAGTTCCGTAAGTTAAAACCTGCTAGCTAGGTACTAAGGAATTAATTTTGCTCGCAACTTCCTAAATAATTAAAAATAACTTATTTACAGTAAGAAAAAATATCCAGAGAAATATAATTACATTCAATTCAGTTGAAAATTATAATGAAATAAAGATCAGGAAAAAATTAAATTAATCCTATACTAACATAAGTACCAAACTGCCTGTTTTTCGTAAAAATACTGATTTTCAGCAGTATTTTTTTTTTTAGTCAGCTTCTCTGTCTATAAGCCCTCAGGATTAATTTTTTTTTTTTTTAATGAAATTCGGAATGAATTCAAATTGTATTATCTAATCCTAAACCTTTGAGTAGAGTAAAACTCTTTTGGGTAATAATGACCAACAGGAAGTCCAGTCTTAGTTACCATGTTGCACAGGAAACATTTCATAACAGTATTTAGAACAAAGAGATGCTCAAAATCGTCACCTTCATTCAGAACCGTGGAGTGATGGCAGAAGAGAGGGAGGAGCAGCCAGCCCGGGAGGATGGGAACCGCAAAGCAGCACCACGAGCATGCACGCAGCCCAAACACAATACATGCTGCCAAGGGGAAGGAGTGTTCCCCATTAAAAGGCAGCACGTGGGTGATCTGGAGGCTGGTCTTATTGGCAAAAAGGTAGGAAATCACAGAATCAAAGGACTGGAAGAAATTCAAAGCCTCAAGGCAAAACCAGAGTCTGCCTTTTCCTACAGAAGTGACAGAAAATTCCCAGGGAACCAGTCTCAGTGCTCTGCCATCCTCACTATTTGAGTTTTTTTCCTCAGTGTCAATGCAAAATCTCCCTCATTGAAATTCAGGCCCCTCCTTCCTGTCGTATTTTCAGTCTGCAGAACAAATCGTCTTCCCCTTTCCTTTTCTGACCTTTTCTGTATTTGGAAATGTGCCTTTTTGGGTTTTAAGCTGAAGTTAATGAGCAATTTCAAACTTGTTGAATTTTCTTCAGCATACAACCTGCTTTCTAGACCTCACATCACTCGTTGCTCCTGTGCACCGCCTTCAGTGGATTCACACTTCTGCCGAAGTGCCGTGTCCTGAACAGGACTTAAGATGAAGCCTTCCAACTGCTGAGTAAAGCAGATTTACTCTATACATAGTGTGCTCTGATGATTTTTTTAATTACATGATATTACTGACTCTTACTCACCTTGTGTTCACCTAGACAGAGCTCTGAAAAAGTCCTTATCTAGCCAGTTGTCCCCTCCTTTTTTTTCTTAACTCTGTGACATTGTTCTTGACTATAATAAACAGCTTTTGTTTGTCCTGAATGTCCTCCTAAGATTCTTCCTCTCTTTCCTCCTAACATTTTCCTCGTTTCCAGCTGAATTTGTATTCTGTCCTCCAGTGTATCTGCAGACATACAAGCGCCATGTGCAGCTGTACCAAGCTCATGTTCCATCCAAAGCAGCTTTAGATGTTCCTGCAGCACTTCCATTCTGACAGTGAATCCTTCAGTAACTATTCTGTGTGTAAGGATTTCCAAACGCTTCCCACCCACTCACGGCAGTTTCATATTGACCATGCATCTCTAATTCCTTTACGAGAATGGCATGTGTAAAAGTGCTGAAGAGCCTTACTCAAGCCAAGACACATAGCATGGGCTGCTTCTCTCACGCCAAAAACCCCGCTACCCTTTCAGAACAGGTTGGTCCAACATTATCTGCTCCTGACAAATAAGGTCTCAGGGAGACCTTGTTGTGGCCCTTCAGTACTTCAAGGGAAGTATCAGAAAGATACGGACAGATAGAGCAGGGTCTCTTGCAACAGGACAAGAAATGATGAATTTAAACTAACAAAGGGGAGACTTAGACTGGAGAGGAGGCCTTTTTTGACACCGAAGGTGGTGAGACCCTGTCTCAGGCTGCCCAGAGAGATGGCCAATGCCCCATCCCTGGAACCATTCCAGGTCAGGTTGGATGGGGCTCTGAGCAGCCTGCTCTAGTTGCAGATGTCGCTGCTCTCTGCAGGGGGTTGGATTAGTTGAAGTTGAAAGTCTCTTCCCACCCAAACCAGTCTATGAAATCCTTCGGCTGACTCACTGCACTCCAGGCACTTACAAGCAGCTGGGTGGATGTGACACACCACCACAAAAGGTGGAGCCAGAAGGAATCAAATGTGATGATAAGAAGCCTAAATCAGTGTGCAGACCGGTGATAAGCAGATTCCAAAATGTGCTCTGAGAGACCTTCATAAGCACTGCCTAGAGCCATATCTTGAGCACTGGGAGCTCTGGCACAAGAGGACCGCAAGAGCCAGTGGAGGAGACTGCTTGCTTGCTTGCTTTCTTCTTTTTTTCTTTTTTTTTTTTTTTTTTAAGATGAGGGTTCTGAACTGCTGCAAATGCTCCAAGATAGGCTTAGAATTAACACCAAACTATGATGCTAGCCTGTCTTTCCAGACCCACCCTCAAGTGGCACCATATGCACAGAAACAAGCATTCAAATATTTACTTGGTTGGTTTCATGGGATTTTTCCTTTATTTATAGTTTGTATTTATTTTGTTAATGGTCTAAATTGACCTTTATATAAACAGATGGCACACCTTAGCCTCCCTGTAAAACCATTATCTCTCATGAATTAAAAAAAAAAAAAATAAAAAAAAAGAGCCTGATAAAAGTGCTAGGCGTCAGAAGAAAATTCTCATGCACATATTTTCACTATCTCTAAGCAATGCAATCACAACAGTTTCCATAAAACTTGGACACTAAGTGCCAGCAAACGTAAGACAAGTTGTACTTAGAAATATTTTTGCATTTGAAAGAGTACCTACCTTCAAATTACTTATCACTGCCACATATGGAATTTTTTTTCAGCTCTACTGAAAGGCATTAACACCTCAGCATGAAGTTTGGTTTACAAAAGCTGCTAAGTCAAAGTCTAGCTTCCAAAGACTGCAAAGATCCTGAACCCTTTGGGGTCTCCACAGCAGGCAACGCCCATGGCTTGCACAGAGACCCTGTATTCCAAACTTCATATGTGTATACATTTCCTTTATGACCACGTATGACAGAGGCATCCAGGACTTCTCCCTTACCACAGGGTGTCTTGCAGTGGGGACACAGCTTCAAACTACTCCCGCCTTACATAAACCCCAGGTTAGCTCATTAGCTACCTCTGCAGCATGGGCAAAACATTTGACCATAAAAGGTAAACAAAAACCAAATCCTTGCTCCATCCTGGCATTAAATTAAAGGATTATATTAAGAAGAAAAAAGTAAATCAGAAGTGGAATCAATATAGTCTTTTTCTTCCTGGTAACTGCAACAAACATAAAATTGGCTGGAAAACCTGCTATATTATCAGGCTAATCTACTACTAACATCTGGAAACAGAACACTAATTGAAAGACATTCAGAAAATGGAGTCCCCATTCTAAGGTTTTGATAGAATTTCAAGAAGAAACCAATGTCCTCCATTAATTTAATGGATGGTGGCCATCCACAAATGTGTTTTTGGAAGATGAAGGGGGGTGTGTAAAGAAAATATTTTAGTATTGGGAAGATCCTAGTTTCCACATAAAAAAAAGAGGACAATAGTGATAAAGTGTGTGAGGAACTTCTGTAACACTGCTGGAGGAGCCTGCAGCACTGCAAAGTCCCTGTCGGACAGCTCTCTGTATCGCCTCCCGGCTAAAGAAGAGAGTACACCTGCAGAGATAAATAAGGATTTTCTTCCACACTGCACCAAGTGCTTTCTCAGAGAATAAGCTACTTCAAACTTCTACATCTTGGTTTCTTCATCAGTACTATGAACATAATAATCCACACCCAATTTTACAGAGCAGAACATTATGGCTAAACAAACTGTTTCTTTAGCAAGGCACTACCTGGTGCCATCAAGACACAGTGTTTCTCTGAGGTAACCCTACGCTTCCATTCTCCTCCCCCCAAGCTGGTGGCCAGTCCTTGTCAAACGTGACCATCTGCTGGCCACTGCATGGGCTGGTCGGACCAGCAGTGGCATGTGCCGCCAGAAGCAGGGCAGCGTTCTGGGAGGCAGCACAAGCCATGGGCACAGGGAAGGAGGGTGCAGGATGAGGTCCCACCACGGCAGTTCCACAGTAGCTGGTGGGTCAGCAGAGTAAGTTCAACTTACTGTTGAGGGATGCCCTAGAAAATCAAATCAGGACTCGTTCCCCCTGCCTTCCTTTTTTAATAACAGAGAACGATACAAGCACTTGTGGTGCTTGACGTCCACAGTCCTACTACTGCCGGGGCTGTAGGGCACTGCCTGCTGGAGGAACCTCCCCAGCAGGGCTCCCCACAGCTGTCTCAACTGGAATAGCCTAACGGAGCCCGATAACCATCATCCCACCAGAGAAGAGACAAAAGTACAGTGGCACTGGAAATACTCTGCCATTTGAGAGAGGCTTCCTGTCGGCCGCTGCTCTCTGCAGAAGAATGTGTTTGAACACACCACCTAGAAGATGGCTATTTTTAGTACAGCGGGGCACTTCAAAACATTTCCTGCTCAGAAAGTTACACCAGAAATAAAAGGAGAAAACATCACAGCCCTGCTGCCTCCCAGAACCCCAGTCCCCCTTGCAGAGGCCACTCTACTGCCACTGCGCTGCAGTCTCGAGAGAAAAGGCACACTCCAGTGGCTAACTGCTTAAAAATACCACATTCCTCAGGGAGGAGAAGTTTTAAATAAACCTGAAAAATAGGTAATGCAAGCATGCCGCTAATTTTTACATGCGGGAGGAAGAAGGGGCCAGAGGGACAGGACACAGGAGGATGGAAGAATTTAGCACAAGAATCTGTGTTCTAGTCTTGTACTAAATAGTTCCAGCTTTGATCTAAATTTAGCCAATGAGCACTTCCTGTGGGAGACTGTCTTCCAAAGCTGAAGTTTTTGATGCTAAGTATTTTCAGTGATTTTATAATCGGGGTAAAGTGGTTATTTGTTTAAAGGCCTGGCCTCCAGCTAGATAAATGCTTACATTATTTTATATTCCCCACCACTTCCTCTGCTACTACACATTGGATGTCTCCTATTTATTCAGCTCCAGGCTTCACTGCATTTTAAGTAGATTTTAAAACTCTATTCACAGCCAACAGGAGCAACAGAAGCTCTTCTGTCATTCTTCAGCAGCCTTCAATCACAGCTGTGGGACTGGCTTCTCCTCACCTTGGTGCTGAGGAACCCCACCACTTCAGCTCTCATCACTTTACCATGACGCCTGCACTGCTTTGCTGTCTTCTAACTCCTCCATCTCCTGGACCTTCCTGGACCTCCCTGGACCTCCATCATCTGAAAGCCATAATTTTGATCTACTTAGATATTTTTTGTGTTTACCAAATCCTGTGTTCTTGTCCAGTATCAAATACTGAAGACTGAAGGATCTCTGCCTTCAATCCAGGACTGACTTCAGTACGTAGTATCTCAACTAGAAATTGGAATCTATTAGATATTTTAAAAAATAGTTTGCTCTTGCTGGTTTAGCTATGAATTTTTTGATACCTGTGTTTTTCTAGCCTAACAGAGCATAAGTTCTCATACAGAATCTAAACCCTCCCTCTACAGACACTACAAAGTAGCGTCTGTATTCAGAACTAAACTAACATCCAGGCCTGAGGAAAAATCCCTGTAGAAATTAGTGTAATTTGGCTCAGTTTCTAAGTTTCCTCCTAAAGCATGGAAAGGATTGAAAAACCACAACTGCTCCTAAATAATGGCAATAGCTGTCAAGTTCTGTTGCAACAGAAGAAGAGAAGTAACCTTAGGAGATGCCTGGATAATGGAGACGTTAACAATGCTGCGCCCGCACTGTGGTGGCATGCCTGGCTCCTACATTTTGAGGTTATAACTACCACGCAAAGAACTGTCAACAGAGTCACAAAAATAAACAAGCTCAAACCCAGTCTGCAAGTTAAAAACACACCATGCTTTAAAAGTGAAGGAAATGGCTGTGAATGAGAGAGTCATGAGCATTTGTGCGGTGTAGGATCTGCTCCTGGTTTACAACCTCAGGCACTGCCTTGGGATTAATGGCCAGTGGGCAGAGCAGATAGTGTAGGACACAGCTAAGGCTCATTAACTCCAACTTGTTATAAACTCTCCAGAAAATGTGTTATACTGCAATTGATACTGCAATTACCTATTTTACAAACAAAATAAACACGAATACTGAAGTAGCAAATTGCTTTTGCTGTGTCCCTTCTTGCACAGCTCTGTAAACTGGAGCACTTTGGGTGATGTGAACCTGGTGCTTTTTGAAAGTGAATTCTGCATGAAAGCCAAAGAAATAACACTTTTCAGCATAGCTCCTAACAACATACGGTTTATTATACGTCGGGCAGCGGAGCAACAAGCAATCCTGCACAAAACACAAATTCTGAATGCAAAGCTCAATGAAGATAACCTTGAACAGGGGAACATGATCTCTGCCCTGAACTATTAATCATCCAGGGAAACCTGGGACAGAATATAAAAAATTTTTAACTAAAAAACCACCAAATTAACAACAAAACGTCCCTAATTAATAAGTATAGCACAAAGACCAGTAATGCAAAGCTGGTATCAGTCCTTTCAAACAGCTCCTGTCCTTGAGCCTGAACTTGCTGTACACGTGGGAGAAGTGTGGTTGCTGTGCTGGATAAGGTCAAGAGCCCATCTTGCCCACAACGAGGGGAAACAGCCTGTGGGAAAAGCCGTCAACAAATGAGCATGAATCAACAGTCAGAGGCACTGTTGCTTGGTCTGCCTGCACCTGGGAGAGGCTCCCCAGTGCCTGGGCCCTGCATCTCCTCTTGGACAGAGCCTGCTCTCTCAGACAGAGTGATCGACACAACCTAGTAACACCAACGGGAAAACTGAGCTGGATTTCAAGAGACAGGGAACAGCCTGTCAAGGGAACTGTCAAGAAATCACTCTGAGAGGAAGTCAGGGGCAGGAACAAGGGCCTAGGGCCGCTCATGCACGCATCACATAACGAGTGGCTTACCTGTTCGTTAGGCTCAAAGCTTATCTCTTCTTTCTCTGTCCTCATCGCTATCAACTTTGTGCTACCGGAAGGGTCTGTCTTACTGTCCAACCGCTCCAGTTTTGGGGGTATGTCTGGTAAACCAATATCTTTAGTATCATCTTTATCTAGCAAGTAGCGAAGTAGTGCATTATTATTCTTCTTAGGACTTGCTGGCTCCTGTTTAACAGTCACCTCTGAACCAGGAGCTGTGCTACTGGACTCCTGGTTCAGCTCTTTGCCTGTGGCCTCTGCTGTGAGCTTGGCCAAATCTACAGGAGAACTACTGTCCTGCAATAGTCTGTGCAAAATTTTATGCTTCTCCTTGAGTGAGGTTCCATGTGCCGAACCAGACCCAGGCAACCCTCCCGTGGAGTCCTTGCTAACGTCTGCCATGGTACTGGACAAAGGTGAAGGCTCCATCTGATCTGATTTGGTGGTCAGCAACTGTAAGAGCTTTGTCTGGCCTTTTCCATCATGCAGTTTATTCTGTCCATCAGGTCTCTCGCCACTGACAACTGGTGGCATGTTGCTATCACTGTTATCTTTCTGCTCTCCTGAATGGCAGCTGCTCTCAGCTCGTCCAGTTGTACCTTCTGATTGCTCTCCATATAGTCCAAAGCAGTCTTTAGAGTCCAGGCTCCCCATCTTGCTTAGCTGGGGAGGGTTCATATTCACAGGGGAATTCTGTAGATTTCCCATTTTTAGGTCAGGTGAAGCCAACGAGGATCCTAGAGAGACGCCGTGGCCCTCACTGAGGGCCTGGAGCGCGTTCAGGGAACTGTTGGTGTAGTTATGGCTGTTTCCTGTGCTGCTGCAGACTCCGACGGGCGAATGCAAACTCCCGGCGGGAGAGAACTGGCTGGGTGGGACGCCCGGGCTCACACGATGCCTTGGGGAAAGCATAGAGTTTGGCTGCCCTGGATTCATGCCGGGACTCCCGGGCTCACACGATGCCTTGGGGAAAGCATAGAGTTTGGCTGCCCTGGATTCATGCCGGGGCTGCTTTGTGAGGGGCTGTTCATTTTTAGTGCATAGTTACTACCCTGAGGAGTGGATGCTTGTATGCTCGACACATGGTTCATTCCCCCTGACCCAGCAAACCTGCCTGCTGGCATGCCCATTTGTTCCTTTGGGCCATTTATGGCAAAATTTATATTGCTACTGATGGTCATATCCTGACCTGGGTTTCCGCTGCACATGGCCTGATGGGCAGGGCTGCTGGAGCTAATTGGGTTCAGTATCTTCCCCATTCCTTGTCCAGTCAAATCCTGATTCATTCCACAGACATTCTGCTCTCTGTGTGGCAGGGGGAAGAAAAACAACCCATTAGCTAAAATGACAATGGCCAACTTGCAATTACATTACAGAAAAAGAAGCAAAACCCCAAACCTCGCTTTAAAATAACAGAACAAACCTACAATTAAAAGCAAATGGACAATCTGACAAAAGTGATATGCAGGTCTCAACATGGCTGCACATTAACAGCATGGCTTCTCAGTACCTCATTGACAGACCAGCGGAAGAGGGGAAAAAGAAAATTATATCTCATTTAAATGAGAGTCATTAGAAGTGCAGGTGGGTTATAATTTCAGACTCTCTTCCTTTAATGTATATCTCTTCTCTACAATTTGTTGATATTGAACGTCTAGAACTGACAGGAATCTCAGCTGAAACACATGACCCAAACATATACATGTTCTACAAGACAGCTGTGGACAGCTGTTTGCTGGAGTTTTGACTTTCCATGAGCTATCCCCTCTGCAAGGCTGGAGTGGGCTGTTTGCCCACCAAGTTCATGGTGAAAAGAAAGTTGAAAAGTCCCATTTTTATGCTGCTAGATTATTTAAATGCTACTCCAAAGCAGCCTATGTGCCAAGAGAACTACTGGACTCTGCTTCAGAATGGGAACAGTCTGTTAGCAGCCCTGTTCTGCATGGGCCTTTAGGAAAAGAGGAGAAGAATGAAAAAAACCCCCCACACAGGAGACAAAATTCATGTTTGAGAGATACAGGCTGTAAGACAGAGGAAATGGAAGAGAGAGACAGAGAAAAAGCTCCTGAGGGTCACTGCTCTTTTCCTCAGTAGATTGCAATTAGGATGTAATATACTTTTTACTTCTGTGCTAATACTTAATTAAAAAAAATCAGACATATTCCCCAATGCTAAAAGCTATAAAAAAAAGACAGTCAAGTAGATTAGGAAGAAAAAAAATGAGGTTCTCAGAAAAATCAAATCAACGCTGGACTTCCAAACCCAAATGCTAATGGACCACTCCTAGTATGTATTTTGATGAGATGAAAACCATTGCTGCTGGCATGGGGAAAGTGCAGATGAACCCTTGCATTTTGCTAAGGCACGAGAAGTGAAAGAACTGAAGCACGTAGAGTAGTGGTGCTTGTTACTCTGCATTTGTTACCTCAGGTGTAACGGCAAGGGCAAACAACATGAACTATGAAAAGAAAGGTGCATTTTTAAAACCTTATTACAAATACAATACTACCAGTGTTCTGCTAAAAAAAACCCACAAATATCTGCAATTACCATTTTTAACTTAATGGTGCTTTTTAAATGTAAAATTTAGCACCTCCTGAAATACCAAGCGTATTCAGCAATCCAAAGAAAAGAAAATTCAGACAGCTTTTGGTCAGGTCCATTTCCAAATCTACAATCTCTGTAAAATGGTTTCAGTTTTAATTATGTTTAGAGCTGTTTTCTTCTGCCCAGAAAAGTGATACTGTTGATACAGGGAAACAGCACTGTAATGTAAGTCAGCAAATTATAACTGAAACAAAACCTGACACAAATATACCAGCACAAGTAATAACTTAATTCAGATTTCACATTGAAGTTCTGAGGTCAGTGATTATTCTCCCTTGACTTTAACATATTATTGCCTGTGATTTTTTTAAAAAAACTCAAACTAACAGTGGTGGCATTTCTCAGGATTGGACGCATGAAAGTCACTACTCCAAGCATCAGAAAAGACAACAACTTAAAATTTTCAATTTCTCTAAAATGCAGTTCTATTAATCAGAACAGTGTTTAATGAAACCCAGAGCCAGCATATGACTGACTGTGAACTACAGGAATTTAAATCCTTCTAAGTTTTCTAGATTTAATTACATATGGAAGGTTTATTGTGTCTACTATGCAAAATACATGAAATTAAAATACTGATATTAAGAACATGAAATTAAAGGAGGTTTTGCACGTTTAATGGAAGATCCTGATGTGAAAATCCAGCATGTCATTTGTAGATCCTGACATAATCTTACAGTCTTTTCCTGCTGTAAGCATGGATTTCAAAAACTTACTTTGTTTTCATGCTATCAGGTCTAGGTCAAATGAATGTCTATCAGCCTTATACAACTTATTTGCTTTGGCAACTCTGTACTTTCTCTGTCTCTGCAGAGCACGGGTGCGACAAAACCGGGCAAGATTACCTGTGAAGCATATGCAAGGAGATTACAAGCTGAGGTTCACTAGTCGTCTGAGAACGGATGAGCTTGCTCTTCGTTTGGGCAGAAACAATAGTGCCATCAGACAAGGAAAACCGGTAAACAGGACTGAACGCCAGCCCCTGCCTCAGCACTGCAAGCAAGGGACAAACAGAGTGAAGTTCATGAGAAACTGGAGAACAGGCAGCTTAGCTGCTCAGCACCTACTGCTCTGAATCCATCAGCACTGACACCACAGACACTACATTAGGTTAAAAATAAATACATTGAAAACAAATAGATGGGATGCATCTAAAGGAAAGCATCCCACAAATTGTGGGGTGACCAAATGAAAACCTATAAGGAGTGACTGCAAGGGCAGGACAGATCCTATGAAACACAGAGTATTTCAGGAGTGGGCTGGGAAGTCCTTGGTGTGCATTTCACTTTTCATCCAGGATGTGTCTAACTCCTTTTGTTCCTCAAACATTTTTTTTCACATGTATCATCTACATCACAATGATTAATATAAATGTCTTTAGTTTCTAGATCATCCCTTTTCATTAGCCTATATCTTTTCCTCCTTATTGCCTGCTTAAATTATCTTGTAACAGTTACTCTCATACTTCTTTAATTTAAAGAGTACATAAATCTCTTAGATGAGAACAATTAGAAATAAGAAGAACTGGAACTAGGAATTATTACTTTTTAAAGAAGAAATACAAAAATATACAGCTTGAACAAACTACCCATACAATTACCTAAACCTAAACTAGGGCTGTGCTATCCTTCCCCAGTTTGTGGCTTACTTCACAAATTCTTCAGCCCCTAAATCTTCAGAGTAAATCTGAAGTTCACCAAAGTCAGTTCCCTAACTTCTTCAGACCCCTGTGACATTTCTTTAATTAAAAATGAAAATGGTGTCTTAAAAGAGCAAATCTCCAAACATTTATTTTACGGTTCTCTCTTTGCCATCAATGAAAAAAGTCTCATAATTTTCAATTCCTAGTCCAAAACCCAATATTTTATGACTGCAGACGTGGCTGGAGGGAAACTTCAATTCAGATTTTTCATATAATCATTTAGAAAAGAAATAGGAATGAAGTACTACAAATACTTTTCATTTCCTATTTTTTCATACAAACACATTTCTGTGGTTTTGGTTTCCTTTTTTTTTTTTTTTTTTTAAATTAATATTATCTTCTGATGTTCATTTCATTGCTTGTCTGTTAATATTTCCTGTTGTAATGAAATGGCGTGGTTTTCTGAGTGTGGCTTTATTAAATGGTCTCCTCTACAGAGCTACCAGATTTTCAGCCTTGCAGGAGTGGTTACGATTGCTTTCCTCCACTGTTCCACTGCTATATATTGTTCTGCAGGGTTTTGAAGTATTATTTAGGCAGTGAGAAAACAGGAAGCATAATTTAAACAACCAGAAGGGTTTTTTTTCCAGAGTAAAAATGTAAAGAAAAACAAAAATCTACGAATGTGAAACAATACAAAGCAAAATTTCACTGTTAGGTATGTCATTGTTTCAATTTAACCTTTGGGCACCAGAAGGTCCAAAGCTCTTAACTTTAGCATATACCACATCAGGAAATTCCAGTAGTCAATGCCAACAGGATACAAGTGAAATCTCTACTTACATTTTCCAAACTAATTCTTTAAGCAAACAAGAATGTTTCCATATTCCTCTTGAGGAAATACTTTTTTTCAGACTGTGGCAAATAAAAACTTACCATATATTTTGTACTTTGTCCTGAGAGTTAATTTCAAAGCTTTGTGGGTTTTATTGTTTATCAAGCTAATGCTGAATTTTCCTCCACACTGTTAACACCGAATTACACGTAGGAGACCATTACTTTCTTTGCTTCTACTCTGAAATCTTAATCACTTAAAAAATGCGAGGGGTTCCTCAATCAAGTGTTCTTGGACTGTCTTCTCCACACTGCAGGGCCAGGAAACGTTTCAGCTTTATCCCTCTCCAGTGCTGGATCCTTTGCACCAAAGCAATTCTAGAGGTTCTTCCTCCTCTTATCATTCACCCTCTGCACTTACACAAGAAGCAAAGACCCGCCTCATTTAGACTAACTCTACAGTTTGTCCAGTGATCCTAAGCCTCTCCTGCAAAACCCTAGTGTTGACTCCAAAACACATATGTTTTTACCACTTCACAGATGATAGATTATAGAGGACCCACTCAAACCTCGGCACTGGAGATGCTAATTTGGTCAGGAATCATCTGAAGAGGACTGAAGTAACAAGTGGCTGGATGCCATCACAGAAGTTCCTCAATTCCTTTTGGCACAGAACTTACCTGAACCTGCTCTCTAACGCCTCTGCTGTCACTGTCACTGACACCACCTTCCTCAGCTCGGTCTGAAATCACAGCATCAGGCTGGGAACTTTTAGTGCTCCCCCCAATTTCTGAATATACCCCAAAAGCTGCTATCTAAAATATCACAGTTTTTCTGTGCCCCCAGATTCCCAAAATGAAAAGTAAAGGTCTCATGAAAGCAGAACATATTAAAGAATATTGAACTAATGCCACATGACTAAAGCTTTTATTTTTTGTGTGTGTATTTGGTGGAATAATTTGAGATTCCAGTTACAATTTCATTTCCAAGACAGCATGCCAGCTGTTTAATGAGCATAGCAACTATTTGTTACAGGCCAGCTGTAAACCCTGTTCTACAAACATTAACCCAAAGAATGATGCTCTTGCACTGGAAATGTTCCAGGTATGTCCCACTGGTTTTGAAAAGACTTTCCTGTGGACTATAAGGGGTTATTTGTTTTTACTAATTTGGATTTGTGTTACTAGAATTAGCAGTATCAGGGGGTTATGAAAAGAAAAATTCCCACCCAGTCACAACCACAGAAACCTCAAGGGGAACATTCTGCTGTGCAGTTCTCTCCTACATCTCACCTACCACAATCTTGACTGAGTAGATGTGTTCCTGGTGTGTCCTACAGCACTTATCAGCCAGATACTGTACAACAATGTGACTTCCCAGATAGTCCGAGCACTGCCTCTTCGATAATTCACACTCAGTGTTTCTCACAGGAAGAATGTCAGTAAAAGTCCAGTTTTGCAGAGAAAAGGAAAACAGGTCAACGGACTGCAGTGTGCATGCTGAGGTTCTGGAGAATAATGCGTAATGAATGTTCTGCCAGGCAACACAGAAGGGTCTCTCTTTCTAAAGTAACTGACAATTTGAAGATTTAAAGCACCCTCCAATATGCAGTTTTAACAAGCAGGCTGAAACAAACAGGGAGAAAGGTGCAAAACCTCTCTGCAGAGCCATCCGTGTGTCGGGCAAATAATTTTGGAAAAGGGACTTCCAGCAGCCCTCAATTGTTCCATGTAAACAAAGAGAACACAACCAAGAGAGACAAATGACAAACAGTTTAAATATAGAAAGTGCTAAAAATACAAAACCTAACCTTCCTGGTGATGCCTCTTGGCAAAAGAGATTTCTCCCTCATGCTGTGAATGGAACCTCTGAATGCATCTTCTCACCATATCCTCCCAGCCAGGTTTCATAGCTGCTCGCATGGTACTTGTGTCCAGTGAAGTTATTTTGCCTGTTATTAGATAAAACATTTTTTACAGCAATTTCCCCCTTTGAGTTTGGGGTGGGGGGAGGAGGCAGAATAAAAAATAAAATTAAACCCTCCTATTTCACATTACCTTGTAGATCCTGGCGAGTAGTAAAGCTCTCTGATGAAGGAAGAAGCGGCCTTTCCTTCATTGGAGCTCTTCTTGCAACACAAATCAAGCAAGACTGCAAATCTTAAAGAAAAATGTTACTTCAGTAATTTGTATAGAAAAGGAAGATTATGTTTCCACAAAGAATTCAGAAACATTTTCTAAATGTTCTTCAAATCCTTTTGGACCAAAAGAATAGGTTTTGTATCAATACAAGGACAGACAGAACTCAGCGGTCTTACATCTTCATTATTTCCTACAACATTAAACCAAACAGGAGAGGTGGGTTTGTCTTCTTTTTTAGAAGAAAAATTATCAAGGACTTCACCACAGCCTGTAATTATTGGCATATGTTTATGCACATACCTGTAGCAGTTCAACCATTTGGGAGATAAGTGAAAAAAAAAAAAAAAATTCTGCATGCACAGAGAGCACATTTCTTCAACACTCATCATTTTGTACCTTCTGGGCCACATTCTCACACCTGCCTCACACACTTGTTGTCCCTGGGGAAGCAGCTTCAGAACCAGCCATTTTTACTTACCTGAACACTTAGAATACAATCTGAGGAACTTCATCTGCTGAAGTAGTAGATGATAAAGGAAATGGCAAATCATGACTGTCTTCAAATTGTAAGGAACCAAAAAATTGTCCACTGAAACTCTCCTGCCAGTCAGTTTCAGTGTAAGAGAATTTCATCATAAAAGTCCACTCTTCTTACAACTGCAGTGACACAAAACCAGGAGATCTCTTCCAGGGAGGCTGAGGTTCTTTCAACTTCAGTTAGATTTGTCTAACAATTAGGTGTGTGCAAGTGTTTATGCTTATAATCCAAGAGGAAGTACACTTCCATCGTTAAACAAGGAAAAAACTTACAATTTTTCCACTTTCAGGATGTAGAAGCCACTTTATCAACTTTCCCTCACTTTATCAACCGCACCAAAACTGCTGACTCGCAACAGCACGGAAAGAGAAAATATCAACACAAATTAAAGCAGCAATTACCTTCCCCGTCCTCCTTGAAGGAATTTGGTTGTGAAACAGCAAAGCACTGCATAGTTTCGTATTTCTGATGTGTTTCCTGGCTATCATGGCCTTCTTCAGAATCAGCAAGAGGTTTTACGAGCATCCGACAGTTAAAGGTATGGCTATTACGCCTCGGAGTGTCACCAGACCAGGATCCCCCATTCACTGAGGAAAGCAAAGATCATCTAGTCAGGTAAATCTGGTAGCAGTCGTTTCTGCTGCTTACCCACAGGAAACTAATCAAGGTGCTCTGCAGACTGGTCGGGAAAGGAGCTCATTTAACAACAACAATAATCTATTTTTAATATTGGAGCCTAACCCAGCACAGAACAAGGTTATCTATAAAATTCTCTAGATTTTAAGAGCACTGCTAATTTGTTGAGCTATCATGGTTTTAATTCTTTTTCCAAGTGTCTTATAAGGACATAGTAGAAAAGCAGGATAAAAGTCTAAGTACTGGTGGGTGTGAAAGTTACACAGTACAGTGAAAAGCCTCCTGGGTAGATCAGGTTAATTTATGTAGGATCTGTCCAGTGAATTTAAAAATGATTAATACAAGAGACAACAGCATTTCATAAAAATCTGTGTCCAGCTTAGAAATAGAAAGAAATGAAACTGATATGCACTTACAAAACCAGGAAGCAATACAAGTGAGAATATAATGAAACATACAGTCTCAGCTGCAGCAGGAAAAGCTGAAGGGATGGGACTTACCTGGGAGCAGTGATAGATAAAACTAAAGCCTAACACAGAGCCTCAGATGAGTGGAAAAGGAAATGCAAGCCTGAGATGCACAAATACAGGTACTGGACATCAGTCAGAAAAAAATAATGCAACACCACATAATAAACACCAGGGTCATATTTAAAACAGTCTTCAGTCATAAAATGCATAAAATTATGGGATTTGGCCATTTACATTTTTGATTCCCCAGGGTTTTTTAAGTAAAGTCATCAAATGCTAAAGTGAATTGCATAATAATTTTTAAATGGGTATCAGTAAACAAGGTGCCCAGCACTGACTTTGTATTTCTTTTTACCTCCTCCAAAAACTAATGACTTTAAAACCAGTATTACTATGCATCTAAAAATGGCTGCAACTCACAAAAACAGTCTTTGAAAGATAAGGCTAAATATCAGTGAGACTAAAAATATTGAAATAAAAATTCTATCAGAGTTTTCTGATTTTTCTCTTCTAACACCCCTTTCCTGGGCCATTCTTAGCCTAGACAGAGAACTAACAGTTCACATAGCTAATGTCGTCTTTTAGTAATTGATTCTGGAGATCCATTAAAAATATCAGCTAACTATGATTATTATGAGTTGCTAAGAGTAATTTTAATGAAAGAGAATCTGAAAAGACTGAAGGATGCTTTTGAGAATAATACTAATCATTCACACAGATTATACACACATTAAAAATAAATAGACTGTATATGATGAAATGGTAAATAGTGGAAGGACACCAAGTTATTGAAACACTGTGTTATGAAACCAAAGTTAAATGAGCAATGGTATGATATGAGGAAAAGACACATACCTAAAGATTTTGGCAGCAGGATTTTGACGAATTCATTGTGGTCCCCTACGTGCAGGATGCTATATATGCTTGTGTTCATCAGCTCTTCTTGGTTGTACCTTAGGTACTGGGTGACATTTTCAGAAACAAACACAACGTTACCTTCTGGGTTCACTACAAAGAAAAACCCATCTAGGGCCTAAAGGAGAAAAAAAAAAAAAAGTGAAGAGAGAGAAACACAATACCAAACAATCAGATTAACAACAAGATACTCAGAAAAATAAATATCCCCTTCTGAAGACATAGCTGAATATTTCTGCATCCAACCTAATTCTTCTATTTTTGTCTAACAGCAAAGGACACATTTCAGACTGAGCATCTGATCTTACTAATACCAAACCTGTGTGAAAGCACAGAAAGGTGCACACCTTGCAAAATACTGAAACCCACAGGTGAAAAGAAAATAGATCCCCTGCCCTAAAGAAACAAACAAATGAGGCTGTGAAATCTCCTTCCCCAGAGATATTCCAAGCTTGACTCAGACCTGCTCACAGTGGGACTACACAAGCTCCAGAGGTCCTTCCAAACCACGGTAGTTAATGATGCTGTTAACAGAGAGGGATGGTGACAGCACCAGAAACAGGCAGCGTGGCTGAGCCAGTTCTCACCAAATGCTTTATTTCTTTTATTTTTAAATCACAGAATAATAAAATGCGCAAATAAATGTACAAGTATATACTTTTCCTGACTGCCTCTATAAATTAAGATCAACCAGGTCGTTTTTTCTCCTGTTAATTCTCACAAATTCTAATCTCTGACTTTGTTTTTTATCATTGTCTTCTTTTTGTTTCTGGTCATTTCTGGTTTCTTCTGTTAATTCATTTTCTCAGGAGACCTCTCTCCTTTCTATGTGCTTTTGTAACATTCACCACATTTTCCTGCTCACTATCATTTAGTTTAACTAACAATGATTTACAGGATTTAGTTAATTGAGGCTCTAATACAATTCTCTATCAGCACCCCTGCTGTGGATTAGTGTCTCAGACTGTATTTCACCACTGCTTGAAGCCAACACAAGCCTGACCTTTTTGGTTTAGTACTTTCTATGTTATGACAGCTCCTTGTACCGGAGAGGAGAGGAGAGGAGGAGGAAGAAAAAGG